GAGAGCCCACCATGCAAGGGCCATTTGTAGATTAACTGCATCTGGCAAATCGAGACCATCTCCATTAGTACTTAAATTAGGAAACTTACGAGAAATATCCTCAGAGCTCTGGTGCCATCTCAAAATGGGAGATGTGCCAGCATATGTTTTGAAGGAAAGGGAGCTTTCTTTTCAAAATACCTGCAATTGCAGGCCTCTGATGTAATTGTAATTTCAGGCTGATCTAGTTTTCTCGCTCGCATTCTGCTTATAACCTATGGCTTCATGGCTAGTCATGTAGCTAATAATGAAGAGCTCTACTGTGCATGTGCTCTGATTCTAAATGAGGGCTGGAAAATGTGAGCAGCCCACACTCTCTACTGTGTGGGGATTGGAATTCTGGCTAGACTCTTTGCAGGCATCTGCATTACATGTGCACACACATACACGCTCAAATTTGCATTACCGTCGCATTCACACCGAGTGAGTCACACCGACTGACAAGGTAGAGCAGAGGTCTAGACTCTTTGAAGCTATTTGAAGTATTGGGTGGCCAAACATTTTACAACACTGACCATCAGACTTTATTACCCAGCGGACAATAGGGTGCCTTAAAACACACTGGCTATGTTTGGAATAGCATACTACCATGCTACTCTCACTATTACTGCAGTACTACTAGATTTGCCAAAATGTGTTGTATACAGTACATACTGTTTAAAATACAGTAGTATCATGCAATGCCATTGTGATAGAGGAACGGGAAGAAATATACACTACCATTCAAAAGTTTGAGGTTATTTTTTCAAATAAATTAATTCAGCAAGGATGCAGTAAATTGATCAAAAGTGATAGTAAAGATTTTTTGATTGTTCCAAAAGATTTCAAACAAATGTTGTTGTTTATTTCACATTCTATTCATCAAAGATTCCAGAGAAAAAATCAGTTTCCACAAAAATATTAAGCAGTACAACTGTTTTCAACATTAATAATAATAAGAAATGCTTCTTGAGCACCAAATCAGCATAATAGAGTGATTACTGAAGGATCATGTGACATTGAAGATGCTTCTTAAAATTCAGCTATGCCATCACAGGAATACATTACATTTTAAATGATTAAAATAGATAACAATTATTTTAAATTTGTAATAATATTTCACAATTTGATCAGGCTGACAAATGTAAAGAAGTTTTACATACAAAATTAATTTAACAATTCAAAATGTTTTTGTTTAAGAACTGATAACAATGGAGCATATTACTGTTTAAAATTAAAGTAGAATAATATTTACAGTTTTGCGTACTATTTATAATAATAATAATGGAAAGTATAGACAATATACTGTGCTGTGTTCAGCCTGTAGTAAGCAAGCATTCCATACCGAACATAGCCGACATCTTTTTAACAAGAGAGAATATGAAATGAATAATGTCTCGTGACGTGATTGTTTCAGGGCTCTTGTAGACATGATGCCATCTGAATTGGGGCCAAGCAACCACCAGCCAAGCAAATCTGACCGGTCACACCACATAAATCCAGACCAATCTCAGGGTCACTGACACCAGCACACTAACGTAACATGGACAAACGTGTCTTGCATCAACAGTAAATATGATTTTGGATTTATACAAGCCATGTTTTTTTTTGTTTTTTTTTGGACTGTCCGGTGGGGTGATGTTAGGCAGGGTTGAGGGGAAATTAGCTGGAGAGATTGCATGCCGAGCCTTGAGGGTTGCAGGGTCATGTCTCTCTGACTGGGTCACTCTGTTCCTGATGACTGAGCGTGATGCACACTCACACAAACACACATGCACACACTCTCGTGGGGGCGGAGAGGCTCACAGTGGTGCTGTGCATCTGGAGCAGTTTTTAGATGAATGGGATGTGACAACAGCACTGCCAGGCGAATGCCTGGGCAAGAGTGTTGTTTTGTTTGTTTGTTTTTTTGGAAGATTTTGGACTGATGCTAAAATAGTGAAAATTCTCTAGCTAGATCATTTCAACACCATCTTGATACACAGTGACTGTAGTCTGTAAAACTTATTTTGATATCCTGATAATTTATTAAAGAAGTAGTTTTCCCCCCAATTAAAATGCCGGATATCCAATACTGTCAGCGGAATTTTGTCTGATACCCAAAAACCAGTTAACAGCAAATATTGTCTGTTACCCAAAATCAGTTAACAAAACTATTTTTGTCTGGTACCCAAAACTGTATTAATTATTGCTTCACAGCATCGTCCTGTGACGTTAAAAACATAATATCTCTTGAAACCACACAATCATTTCAAATCAAGATTAAACGACAACATTGCAAGAGCAATAAGTAAATAATAAATAATATAATAAAAATTAACAAATTATTCTATAATTAAATGGAATTATATGATTATGATGATTATAAATTAAATGTAAAAAAAACGAATAAATAAAACACAACACCGATGTTTTGAAGCAACAAATACATAGGTTGCTATTGAAAATCCTTAGATCTTTCATTACCTCCAACGTGTCATTACAAACCAGTATACCTCTCTTTATTCTGTGGAAAATAAAAGACAACATTTTAAAGAATTATACTAGTCACTCTTTTCCATGATATTAGATGCTTCAGAAAGATGCAAAAGTACCATAAAAGTATCAAAAAGTTGTCCATACGACTAGGCTTGCTGTGTTCCAAGCTATATAATAGATTTGTGTGAACAAAGCTATTATGCCCCCCTGCCCCGCCCCCAGCAATTTAAGTTGTAATTTATTGTAAATTTTCCCCTTCAGTGAGCTTTTAATGCTGTGACCAGTCAATGAGCTGAACTCACAAACCGAATCAGTCTGACTGGTTTTTAGAGCATTTAGACTGGTTTTGTGAAACACATTAAATAATTCATTGAAAAAGATCTGACTCAAAAAAGAAGCCGTTTCTCAATATGCGTTCTTAAGTGATCTTGCATCCTTGTGTTCTCGAACTACGCCATCATCAACCGTCAATGCCTCACACTAGAGATTCCTTCTGAAAACTCCCAAATATGTGATAGCACGTGAAAGCCATAAACATTTGACTGGCAAACGTTTTGTTTGGCATAATTTTAATCAAGTTTTATAATTACCTGGAGAAATCCTGCAGTACTTTAATTGGTACATTTAAAATTGACTTAACATTGACTTGTACATATACAATATACAAGCCATATACAAGCTTAACATTAAACACACAAATACTCTTGTGAAATAAAAAGAGATTTTACAAAATTAACCAAAAATAACAAAAAAAAGTTATTTTACAAAAAGGAAAAATATTTTAATAGGTTAAGACATCTGTGATGTTATATTTTATTTGTTGTGTGTTGGGTGGTTCTGTCAGTTGAGCAACAAGATTACAGCACATCTCAATTCTCACAAAGATGTGTTCTGTGTCCTCGTTTTCTTCCGAGTGCGTTCTTTCAAGGTGGCCTGGCTAGGCCAGTCTCCATGAGAACGCAGTCAGTTCTTCGCCTTCTTAGAATTAAGAAACAGAATGTTTTTCCAGGCATAACTACTTATCTCATGAACACATAAGAAAAGCTAGTGCAGATGTTAAGTAAATAGCAGCTTCGTTAATGTTCCTCAGAAGAAAAAAATGTCACAACTTGAGGGTTAGTAAATGATGTCAGAATCTTTGGGTGAAGTATTCCTTAAAAATCAAAACCTTGGCAAACTTAGATAAACCTGAGGCTATAATGTGTGCAACGCAGCCCGCAGGTATGCAGGATTCGCATGGGGAAACGTTGCTTTCGGATAGGACGTGCAGAGCTCTGAGACTGCAGACTCTTCTAAGAGAGCCCTGCACTTCTCCTCTCAAAAGAGAGAGAGAATTAGATTTTAAAGCTGTATGTCTCACTTTACGTGAGACAGAAGGGTGTTGGGCATGAATACTAAACAGTGTTTCCCCCAATTACAAGCAAGCTGGGCCAGTTCGCTGCCACTGGGGGACAGCTGGAGCTCATATGCTTTGATTTGACCAAGTGAAGTTCAGATGAGAGCTTCCCATATTGCCCCAGTATGAGTGATTGTGCGATCTATCAGTGGAAAGAGGGGCGGTGTGAGAGCGAGCGCATATTTTGTTGTGTGAAGGAGACCTGAGAAGGTGTTACGTACAAAGATCCGTCTTTCTAAGGAAATTCGTTCAAGTCTGTATTTCTGTCATTGAAAGGTTTTCGATAGACATCTCCAGCATTTGGAGAGCACCCTTTGTGTCACTGGCCTTGGCGCCACTGACAAATACTTGCATGCACATGCAAATCTGTGTCTGTTCTCTCTCTCTCTCTCTCTCTCTCTCTCTCTCTCTCTCTCTATCTCTCTATCTCTCTCTCTCTCTCTCTCTCTCACACACACACACACACACACACACACACACACACACACCCCAAATGCACCAACACCACACATTAACAGAATTTGCAAAGAGCATGAGATAGAAGTGTTAGCTTGTTGATAGATAGAGGACTAGAGCACTCAATATGTTAGTGTGTGTGTTTGTCTGAAAGCATATGGTTTTCTAAAAGAAACGTTGTTGTTTTTATTATATTAGATTATATTATATTTTATTATATTATATTATATTATATTATATTATATTATATTATTATAGCATCTGAGAAAAAAAGTAACTTTGCTTTTTTTATTTCATAGTTCAAATAAAACCTCCCCAGCGATTTACCTTTTGTACAGTGTTCGATCTAAAGCCATAAAGACATTCATATTTCTCTAAAAAAAGAGATATAAATAAATATAGGTGACTTTATTCCTTATGAACAGAGCATGTTTCAAAACTTTAAAAGGCCCTCCTGTCACTTATTATATTTTTGAACAAAAAAGAATGACAGATTTTGTTGTTGTTGTTTTTTCTTGTTCTGAGACTGTGATAATGGAGGCTTTGAATAGCTTCAGACATCTGTATGTCTTTCCTTATAAGTGTACCTCATTTCAGTCTGCAGATTTCATATAACTGCAGTTCATGATAAATGATTCTTTTTCTTTAACAGAAAATGAGTTTTGAGGAACAGTTTTGAGGGACACACAGCGGACAATTCTGCCTAATCGCACCACACAGGAGGCGCTCCTCAGAAAACACATCTGTCCCACCATCAACCAGTAAATCTCAGGTAATGTGCTTTGCATTTCGTTTGTTCTTGGCAGAAAAGTTGAATTGTTACACTACTGTTCAAAAGTCAGGTATCAGTATGATTTTCTTTTTAAAGAAATGAATACTTTTTATTCAGCAAGGATGCATTAAATTGACCGAGAGAAAAAATGTATCCGGTTTCCACTGAATTAAGCAGCACAACTGCTTTTAACATTGATGTTGATTGATTTCTGAAAAATAGAGTAATTCCTGCTGAAACTCAGCTTTGCCACCACAGGAATAAATTACATTTTAAAATAGAATTACAAAATTAAAATAGAACACAATTATGCTAAATTGTAATAATGTTTCACAATATTATTTTGATTTTAACATTGAAAAATCTTATCGACCATCAACTTTTAAATGGTAGTGTTGAATTTTTCTTTGTCCTGCTTTTCTTTTTTAAAGCAATCTTGCACAATATTACACAAGAAGTAGTTAAAATAAGTTTTTTTTTATTGTTTATATTTTTAATGGCTTAATACGATTATGTATGCTTAATAAAAAATGCCGGACAAGTACATATTTCGTAATGGCGCTGTACTTTTTAACAACTACAACAAAGAGGCACGATAAACAAATCTTAACACAAGGATATTGGTCATGGCATACAGTGATGTTTCCTTGTGTTTAGTGTGCAAGGCCCTTGCAAGTGCCCAAATTTGTGATCATTATAAACTGATTCACATTGTTGGCAACTAGGGTGCAAAATTATGCACACCATAGATTTTCATACAATATAAACCATGATGCATTATGGCCCCAAGTCTGTATTTTTCATAATAAACATATTATTTTATCATCTATGATCTGTCTCTCATGCAGTACATAACCATCCCTGCTACAGACATCATTGCCCTTTTACTCTTCGTTTTACAGTTGCTCAGATAGTTGACGGAGGTCAGGCTAATTGCTGCTTCTTTTCTCCAGATGGAGGTGGATGCGGCCGAGAAGCGTCATCGAACACGATCTAAAGGTGTGCGAGGTACAGCGCACTCACATGGTATTAGCTGCAGTCTCAACCTACGGTCAAATCCATTTCCCAACTTTCAATCCATATCTGTGTCTTTATTGCCTTTCACGAATTATCACTGACGTCAGTCAGTAGTGATTAACATGCACTATTGATTGGACAGGTGAAGCAGGATCTGTGAGGCCGGAAAATTAGTCTGCTCATAATAATATGATTCTATTGTGTGATGAATCTCATGTTGAGATATTTCCTCACTAATTGTTCTCGCTTTCTTTTCTTTTTTACTTTTTTTTTGTTGCAGTTGCCGTGGAGGCTGCACAAGAGCTGTTCAGGTCAGTCTGCATACAGTATGGGAATCATTCAATTAAACTCACTATGCAAATCAGTTCACAACCTATTTACTTTTATAATGGGATTTCTGAGCAAAACAGGATATTCAAGGTGAAGCAAGATATTGCATTTTGGTGTACATTGCTGTTCAAAAGTTTGGGGACAGTAAAAATGTTTTATCTCTTTTGAAAAAAGTCTTCTATGGTCACCAAGGCTGCAATTACATTACATTAACTGTTTTCTATTTGAAGAATATATTTTTAAAATGTTATTTATTCCTGTCATGGTGAAGCTGAATTTTCAGCATCTAGTCTTCAGTGTCACATGATCATTCAGAAATCATTCTAATATCCTGATTTGGTGCTCAAAAAAACATTTATTATTATTATGATCAATTTAAAAAAAGGTTGTGCTGCCTAATATTTTTTGTTTTTCTTCCACAATTCTTTGATGAATAGAACAGCATTTATTTGACATAAATATCTGTGGTACTTTTATAAATGTCTTTACTGTCAATTTTGATCAATGTAATGCATCCTAGTTGAATAAAAGTATTACTTTTTTTTTTTTTTTTTTTATCCTACTTACTCCAAACCTTTGATTAGATACCTTATAATTAGATCATTTTAAGACCAGAAATGCGTATATACGAAAGTAAATACGGTTGATTTGTTGTATCTCGCCTTGCAGTTTCTGTCTTTAAAGACCAAGGGCCAGATTTACTAAACAGGGTAAATTAGCACGAGAGCGCAATTCCAAAAAAGCGCCAATAGGAATGGAAAGTTCTGCGCATGATCTACTGATGACACGCAAACTAAAGAACACAGACGCAGCCTGATCATTTCCAGAATGGACAACGCAATACCAAGAGCAGGCCAAATTAGCATCTGGTTTAAGACATGCTTTTTTTGGCCGGTAAATAATGGCTCAAATACCAGTAAATGGACTAGCACAAACCTTAGTAAATCACCTTGCTATGGTTTGTAATCTTTGTAAATCACTAAGTAAGCTTAGTAAATCACATTTAAATACTTTCCACCCATAAATTTAGCTTCTGAAAGGGAAACTCCTACAAATGCATATACAATAAGGTCAGCCGCAAAAATAACCCTGTCCACGCTTTTTCAGTGCAAATCTTTCGCTGCGTGTCTTTAGTCAAGCTGTCCCTAAAACAGTTGTATGACGTAATATGCATTTCCGTTCAAGGTGGCATCAAAGTATAATTTTGCTAATTGATAGGTTTTGATGTAATTTATACAATTTGGCAAGTACTACAGGCAGAGCCTAAAAATAGACCTTTCAGTGAAATTGCCATAAGTGAGAACATATGATCTCCCAATTAGTATTAGTAAATATCCCTGCACTCCTAATGAAATCATGCATCATGATGAGAGTGAATGGTCTGTTTTTCCTCCAGGGCAGTGAGTCGTTTTACTCACATCTGCCTGTCACTTTTCCCCCTGCATATCTTTCCCTTAAGCATAATTTACAGGCCTCCTAAATGGCAGCATTTTCCTCATTAAGAATGGTTCAACACCCACGCTGTTGTTAAAAAATACTTTTTTTATATTTTGTGGCTACGTGTCCAATTACAATGACAGCGGCAAGGACACAAGGGTGTGCGACTCTGTGAGTGTGCTATGACCAGTTTTCCAGAGGCACCTCTACCATGTCATCTTTATTATGGTATCAGACCAAGCAGAGAAGTGAAATCCCCTCTCTCTCCTTCCCAATCATCAGGGCAATCTGCTTGATCAGCAGGTCCAGGCCTGTAGCTGCAGGCATCTTTAACACCAGTTACACTCACTGATGGGTCACCAGCTTGATCAGACACAGATCCCTAGCCAACATTATCAAGGATACTGTAGATGCAACTCATGTGCTATGCTAGACATGTTCCCACTCAATTTTCTACTCTTTTGCTACATTTTAAGTTTAAATAGCTTCAGGTTTAAACATGTATTGTTAAACACGCAGTCCAATTTCAAGACTAAACGTGGTGTTGGGGAATCTACTTTGAAACTGTAGCTTTCCAAGCTACAACCTACTCCAAATTTGAAGTAGTTAAACTTCTCTCATGCAACCTTTTGCAGAAAGTAGTTAGTTACACTGTAAGCTACTAACAGAAAGTAGCTATTTGTTGTACACTGAAGCTACTTAAAGGGCAACATATTTTTCAATATATATATAACTTCCGATTATATTATTTATTACATTATCAGAGACATATTTACAAAAACTAAAATACAGCCTAATTTATATTGAATATTAAATTATAATGTATATTATATTATTGTGTGCGTGCGTGCGTGTAAACCCTACTTTATGGGGACAAAATGTGAAAACAGCTTATAAATCATACTAAGTAATGTTTTTGGAAAATGTTAAAATGCATTTTTAACACTGCGTGGCCACAGTTGCCAATGTGCCGAGGGAATAATATTTAAAAGTATTCTGTTTCAGGTATGTTCATCAAGTTATACTGTTAAATGATGCTTCTTAGGCGATCACTGTGCCGCGAACCGGTCTGGTTTAAACTAACATGCTGGTCTCTCACATGCTGAGAGAGAAGCTGATGTATGTGTGTGAGGAACATACATCATATATGTGTTAAACTTAATAAATGACACAGTCCATGAGAGCCGTTCATACAGTATTCTCTGTTTTTATTTGAGCTCCCTCAGATGAACATGTAGGAACATTCGGTTGCTTTTTACTGTTAAGGACTATTTTTTCTAGTGGAAGAATGGCATTTTATGATTTTGACTTCGCTTCGCATCATGCCTGACAAGCCCTTCAGCCGTGACTGTATTTACAATACACCACAGCCCCTCATACCTCATTGCTTACATATTAATTTTGCGGTTGGAAAGTCTTTTGTACTCATCAAGGCTGCATGTGTTTGAGCTACAGGAATACAGTAATATTGTAAAAACAATATTATTTAAAATAATTGTTTAAAAAACTATTTTAAATAAATATTCGGTATCTTAATACATTTTAGCATCACAGGTAAATGATTCCTGGCGGTGTCACATGATCCTTCAGAAATCAATCTAGTATGCTGATCTGGTGCTCAAGAAACTTTTCTTAGATAATCAATGTTAAAAACAGTTGTGCTGCTTAATTTTTTTGTGGAAATAATTTTTTATCTCAAGATTCTTTGATGAATATCCAATATTAAATTTAAAAGAAAAGCATTTAATTAAAATAGACCTCTTTTGTAATAATATAAAAGTCTTTACTGTCATTTTTTGATCAAATTTATGTGTCCTTGCTAAATAAAAACATTTTAAACAATGTTACTGACCCCAAACATTTGAACAGGAATGTATGTATGCGGTCGTTCATCAATATAAATAATAAAAAAATTGTGGGTTTTCTAGTTCATATAGTTATTTTAATGTGAATGCACAATACAAGCATCCCATTGAAGTTATGCGTGTGGCGTGAGTACCAGTACTGGTAATGATAGACACACAATTACCACTGCCAGTCAAGTAAGTGCTTAATGAATACTTTCAGTAATCAGTGAGACTGTAACTAATCTGGCTAGTTTTATGTCAATGACTTGGATACTGGTTTGCTGGTCTGATCCTTCGCTCAAGCGGAGCAGAAGTTCTAAACTTGGATGTTTTCCCTCATGGCTTTTAACTGGCTGTGGACCTAAATGGAGCAGCCAGAGAGCGATATACAATATGAAATATGAAATATGGAGCCTGGTGAGTCATCGGCCTGGAGGACACTGGAAGCTCTCTAAATCTGTAATGAAGGCTGATGTGCCACGGTTCGAACATAGTCAGCAAGAACGAGCGTATGTGTGTGTCCATGTGCGTGTGTGTGACGTCAGCCTTGTATTAATTATTTCTCTTGTCCGCAGCTGTCCCACACCTGGGTGTGATGGTAGTGGACATGTCAGCGGCAAATATGCCAGACACAGGAGGTAAGAACTGACCTCTCATTCATATGAATGTGTGCCCATCCATCTGAAAGTCTCTTTACAGGTGCAAGAATGAAGGCTCTCGACCACTTACAGAAAAGCTCAAGACCAATAGCAAAATTATGTCAATTGAATTTGAATTGAAATAGGCCTTTTTTTTCTTCCCTTTACATACATCCTTTTACCAGCAAAAAGTTGTGAAAGTGCAGTCAAAAGATTGAAATGAATAGACTACAATGAACTAGAGCTGGCATTTACTTATGCTGGGTACACACCAAAAGATTTTTTACATCTTATAAGATTTTCAAAATGTGATAGACCACAAACATGAGGACAAAAAATCCTAGATTTAACCGTTTTGCTCCTATAGTGTGTGGTGTGCCATGATGTGACAAAGACAGCACACCACACACGAACAGATTTTCAACCAGAGTCTCGACTGTGAACACAGGAAATCTCGCAAAATCTCGTGAGACTTCGGAGTAAGCATGGCGGACGATATGCAGGAAGTAATTGCGATGATAGTGTTTGGAATGATTTTCACGGGGGAAAAAAAGGGTTTGGGTGAAGTCGTAGAGATGGCGGGAATTTAGTGAACTTCTCAGATAAAGGTTGTGGTAATGCACACACGTCTCTCTCCCCTTTCGAAAATTTACCATGGTTTTACTACAAATAAAAAATAAAATTGTAGTTAAACCATGATAACCACAAATTAACCGTAGTTTTGGTTAAAAAAAAAAGAAAAAGAAACCTATAGTATTTTTTCTTGGTTATACAAATGTTCAATACACCTATAATTGAATTGAATTCTTGAATTGAATTAAATTGAATTGAATTGAATTCTTTATTGTCATTGTACAAGGTACAACGAAATTAGATGACATTCCTCTCAGTGCTTTACAATAAATAGAAATAAAAGCAATGAATATATATCAATATGGTGTCCAACCATTCTATTAACCCCACCCCCCACCACCCTCCCACATACCCTACCACAATCTCCAGTGCATACTTAAAAACAGTAAAAAGTATGCACTGGAGATTGTGGTAGGGTATGTGTAATAAAACCATGGTTAATTTTCCCACTCTCTCTCTCTCTCTCTCTCTTTCTCCTTCACACACATTATGTGTACTGGTACACCTATCCTTATATGGAATGGTTTTTATACTGAGCTAATTACATTTTCTGAGCCACAAATCAACAAGATGATCCTCCATCTCTGCTGTCCACATCAATTTCACTTTGTACTGCGCTATGGCTGCGTTTGTTTTGCTTCCGTCTTCCATCATCTCGCTTTCTGATTGGATATTGTTTCGTTTCATGTGATAATCTCCAGAGCATGCGTGCGTTTGTCCCCGGGGTTCCCCCCCACACATCAGGATTTCTGATTGTAAATATGTTGACACTCTTAACACACCTCACACCAAGGGAATATCTGATAAAATAATCTAGAACCATCAAGATAATCGGGACATAGCTAGGATTGTCAGAAGGGGGAAAATCGGCCCAAAATCAGCCCGATTATCTTTTGGTGTGTACCCAGCATAAAGTGGAGCATTTTAACAAAGTATGATATGTTTTCTGGATTGTAGCGGTAAAGGATTGAACAATATTGTAATGGAATGGCTTACTTCAGAGTACTTAGCATTAGCCTTCAGCATTAGCAGTTTTTGCTTTGTAGCCTAAAAACTTGTAACTGGACTGTTAGCTTGCAACATAACCTTACCTCTTTAAACATGGCTGTTGTTGGGTTAGTTCACTGAAAAATGAATCCATGTGATTCAAGCGGTCCACGTGTAACGAGACAAGATCGTTTTATATGATGAACAGATTTAATGTAGCCTTTTATTCAGTTAACAGTGATCAATGCACAACATACATAGAGCTCATCAAATATGGTAAACTGAAGCTCAAACATGGTTGCTTGGAGCACAAGAACCAATAAGGTTTGTTCTCACATGTCAAGCATGTACAGTATGTATTATATGTTGTTCATCATATAAAACAATTGTGTCTCTTCTGAAGACTTTTACAATCTCTTTATGAACTTCTTGAAGCATCAAAGTTTTGGTGGAATAGATTTTCAATGGATGGACAGAAATCTATCAGGTTTCATTAAAAATATTTTTATTTGTGTTTTGAAGATGACCAAGAGAGACATGTCTGAAAAAATTATGACAGAATTTTTCTTTTTGGGTGAAGTATCCCTTTAAAAATAGATGTATATGGACAATAAGCTACACTGCAATATCTAACTCTCGTTAGCATACATCAGGAATATGTGGAGGATATCTGATGATAGGCGCAACATCATTAATATTCTAATCAGCTTGTCAAACGTCTTAGCAGGATTGTGCTGTTTGTTTCCTCTTTGACAAAAAGCCTTTTTGAGGACGAATTGTGGAAGGAATACAAAGGGCACCGTTACACTAACAGGCAACATGAGATAATTAATGTTTATACTTTAATACTGATATAAGTCCAGGGTTTGAAATATAGGTTTTTATTAAGAAAAAGTTCTTCACTAGGAAGCTAATAGCATCTGATTTGACAACTGTTGTCAAAGTCACTCTCAGTCTGTTCCACTTCCATGTTTAACAGTCTCAGTCCTCTTGATGCTATTTACTGTACCTCAGAAGAAAGATACAAAACAAGAAAGGCAGAACAGAAAAGATTGATGGATATGTCTACTGTGTCACCCCATCAGCCGAGCCCTGTGAACCACCAACCAGAATTGCATTTCTGCTACAGACAAATGGTACCTCCAGCAGACCTCACTGAAAAGGCAGGGAGAGGGCGAGAGAGTGATGAATTACCCCCAAATGAGAGGGTGGGGAGAGAAAAGGCGCTCCGACTGTTCTGTCAGAGCACGCTAACATTTGGGGGGCATTTGTAGGAACATTGTGGGAATGGCAGGGTTGTAATGAGGACACTGCGTTACCTGTCCATGCTATGCAGTGTCTGCCGCCCTTTACCACTCCATTAAAAAGTAATAATGACAAAACAACAACAGTGTTTGTCTCCTGCGGCATACATTGGGTTATATCACAGCAGAGGTTCGCGCCCCTTATGTATAGCTGCTCTGAAGGGGGTATGAACTGATCTAATGTATACATTGTAGGTTTATGTATTGTAATGGCCTCTCAGGGCAAAATATCATTAAAAAACTGATGCGGACATCAAACTTTTCCAGTTCATAATGTGTACACAGATAAAATGTGGAAAAATTGTCCCTTCGTAGGTACAACAGCTTGTCACTGGGGCAGTACCCTTAGAGGGACAACTTTGTAACTTATTTATCCTGAAAAGGTTCATGGTAGGGTGCATATTACTACTATAAGGTACTAATTTGCAGCTTTTAGTGGTAGATAACATACAAAGTTGCCCCTTTAAGTGTACTGTGCCAAGCTGTTGTACCCTTATAGGAGAACTCCGCCGCAAAATGAACCTTTGGTCTAATACAACATTGGTACCTAGTCAAACGTTCTCTGAGATTTGTTTTCATGATAATCGAATGTAAAGAGTTTTATCTTTAAAAACTGTTTAGCGTATAACGCTAGTAATGGGGGCATATAATAAGTAAAAAGAAATCGCTAGTTTATACCACTAACAAGGCTCAAAATAGCCCCACACGAACACAGTAACATAATGAGGGTCCCTACATGCAAAACTAAGCATTGAGAACTTTGTAAGTGTACAGACCGTTTAATAAGAAGATAAAGATAAAGACAGTCCACTTCGTGTATACAGACAGGAGCCATCTTTGGAAAACAGTCTCGACTAATCAAACCACGAACGCCATTCATACAGTTCAGAAGTTCACTGAACTTCATACAGTTCAGCTCACGTAGCACGTCGTTCTTGGTTTGATTAGTCGAGACTGTTTTCCAAAGATGGCTCCTGTCTGTATACACGAAGTGGACTGTCTTTATCTTTATCTTCTTATTAAACGGTCTGTACACTTACAAAGTTCTCAATGCTTCGTTTTGCATGTAGGGACCCTCATTATGTTACTGTGTTCGTGTGGGGCTATTTTGAGCCTTGTTAGTGGTATAAACTAGCAATTTCTTTTTACTTATTATATGCCCCCATTACTAGCGTTATACGCTAAACAGTTTTTAGAGATAAAACTCTTTACATTCGATTATCATGAAAACAAATCTCAGAGAACGGTTGACTAGGTACCAATGTTTTATTAGACCAAAGGTTCATTTTGCGCCGGAGTTCTCCTTTAAAGTTACAATTTTGCATAATTTTTATTGTAAATTTATTTTGTGATAATAACTGGCTGACTAACTGTACAATAAGTTATAGTGTAATTCTTCCTGTATATTATTGTAATACTTCTACTAAGATAGAAAATAGTACAAGTCAAGATAAAAAAAGACAAATACCACAACATTTTCGTAACATTAAAGTTGTGATGAAATGGAAGTATCTATCTAACTATCTATCTATCTATCTATCTATCTATCTATCTATCTATCTATCTATCTATCTATCTATCTATCTATCTATCTATCTATCTATCTATCGGTTGTTGATTGGATGGAGGCCAATCAGAATGTGAGCTTGCAGTCGATTGTAAGTATATGGATATTAGGAACAATCTGACCGCTGAATGTCATGATCGATGTACACGAGAGGTCCACAATAATATTAGTAAACAGAGTGGACTGCTAATGGTGAACTGAAGTCACATTATCTAAATTTTGTCTGCAATAAAAAGCCTATTGTCTATAGTGTAGAGATGCATGAAGCACAGCTCACACTGAAGTCAGAAAGCAAGCAGCTTTCTGTTGATCAATGCTGCAAATTTGCAGAACGTTTTCACCCTCACGCGAAATTCACGTAAATTCCTATTGAAATGAACGACAGAAAATGTTTCTGCACCTAAACTCGTTTATTGCAATTAATAAAGACATCATTATTTCATTGGAACGATCAATAAATATTAATTAGATGACATAACGTTCACCTAATAGTCGTACCTGATTTGAAA